GCAAATGTGTTCAAACCTCTGAAGTTCTGTGAAAAAATATCACCTCCTTTTTCTCCCTTTGTTGGTATGGGTATGACATTAAGGGAAGAGGAGGGTGCCCCATGTGATCTTTTCAACTACTGTTAAAACACTCCCTGCCTTTATAACCTTTTATTTCCTTATTCTTAGCTGGTCTATGAATCTGTGCTTATCTACATAATTGCCTAATAAGCATATAACCAATAGGAAAACACACACGTGTGAGCACACACACACACACACACTCACACACTATAATACCTGGAAAAATATGGCACATTCTGTAGGAAATCAATAAAGATCCATTTCATTGGAAATGGAGCCAAAAGGAACAAATATCAGAGTTCTTTATATGCATCTGTCACAAGGAGTTACTAGCCCTAGATACATAGAGGGCATGCTCTGTGAGAACACATACATATTTAGGGACAATTCTCATTTAATTTAGGCCCCAGGCCTAGGACCTTAACTAATTTACAAGGCTTCTCTAGGAAAGACACAATTTTAGGAATGACAATAGTCTATGGCATTTGATTTTCCTGCAGGGGAAGCTATAACACATTCCCACTCTTCAAGAGAACCCAAGATTTATGACTTGGGGGTTTTGCTGGCTAGTGGGTTTTGTTTTTTTATTTCACCCTTACATTATTTTTTTTCAGCTCCCTTTGTATCCTGCCTAGCAAAAATTTTCTCAGCAGTCAAGGACAGGATAGCAGCACAGCTGCCCTTGAGTCAAGTTTGTAAATCCTACTGGGAAACCACTCCATGCTGTCAGATGATGTGGTTTTCAGACACGTCTGTACAGACTAGTTGAATTAAAGACCAACTCCAGACTTGATGTGCTGAGCTCCTCAGCTCCATCTTGCCATCCTGATTGATCGAGGAGATGGGTCTATAGTTAAAGTGGCATAGCACTTTGAGGGCTTAGTCATTAGAGCACACTGCTTTCTCTTTGGAAGGTAACTTCTTGCTTGGCTAGGGTATGGAAGCTAAGGAGTGACGTCAAGATGTTTTCTGGCCAGAATTTGCAGATAACCATAGAACTCTTCTCCTCCATCAGGCATGGATTTAGCCTCCTTTAGTTCCTGCAGTGACACAGGAGCCTCCAAATACCAAATTATTATCAGGCGGTCTTGGGGGAACCTCTGGGCCCTGCAATAAAGTAGACAGACTTGCTATTGGAAAGTGCTCAGGAGCAATTCAGCCCTGTTCAGATTGCTCTAAAATCCTGCAAACCATCTCTAGATTTGGTAAATGAAAGCCTGACATAGCTCCTGATAGTAAAAAGTACTTTGGGGGATATAATTTATTAACATTCTTCACTTAAATGATCTTACATATCATTTGGAGCAGTCTGCTTTTGTTTGGGATTTGTTATTGTTCTTGTTCGTTTGTTTTTAATGCAAAATTATATAAGTATGGAGGCTGAGTAATTTTGGAAAAGTGACTTCTAAGCATCATCTGTAGAATAAAGTATTTGTATTAAATGATCTTTAAGGTCTAACTCAGGGGTCACAGACAAGTGGTGGATTATGGATCAAATCTGACTCAACCTCGTGTCATTTATTGTTCTCACCCAGTGTTTTAAATTTGGGGAAATTCACAATAAAATATTTTAATAAGTGCCTGTTCTTGCTGGAAAAAATTGAGTATCTGGTAATATCAGGTCATGTTTAAGCATAGCCTTCACAGTGCCATATCGTCTTTCTGATCTTGCCTATTTCCATATTGACCTGCATAATCTTGTAGGTAATTGGAGTTTAGGACCCTAGCTCTAAGCTATTCTATTATAGTGCATTGTAATTATATGATGAAATCTTTAACCATTGGCCTCCCTAACAAGACTCTCTGAAGGCAAGGAATATGCCATTATCACCACTAAATCTTCAGTTCCTGGCATTGTAGGAGTATTATGGATAGTTAATATATATTTAATGGATTGAAATTCACCTTCTATATTAGATTCTTACAATTCAGTAAAATAAGATTGGAACCACTCTTTCTTTGTAAGATCACACGTATATTTGAAAGCCAACATCTTTAGGTAGCAGGTAGATTTAGGAAAGAGAAGTAAATATGCTGGCTTATGGCCCAAGACACTAATAGGTCCAGAAGTTGGTGATATATCATCCATGTGACATTTTGCTTTAAGCACTTGGGAAAAGTTCTTAACTTTATCTGAGATGATATTAAATTTGTTACTCAGCAAACTTCTTGAAAGATCCCTTCTCTAAAGGTTTTTTAGAGGTTAGGTATAAAAATGTTTCATGGGGGGAAAAAAATGTTCCATGGGAATCACTTAATTGAAAGCTAATCTCCCAAAATTGTATGGGCCTAGACCAACAGATCCCTCTGTATAGCAGATTTATGCATTTTAAAATATTTTGATTTCTGGATGACTGCTATTAGGATGTTCAAAAATCAGGGTTTTTGGTAAAAGATTTTTCCTGCTAAAATTGTCATCTAAATCTGTTTAAATTGGATAATATATTATTAAAAACATGTCTAACAAGTAAACTATTATGTAGGCAAGTGTAATAGGAATAGAGCCAATGAAGAAGGCTATGGGTCATCTTTACTTGTTACAAGTCTGTTAGTAATTAATATTTCAGTAATATATATCCATATCTGATTAACATTTGGCCAACATCAAAAGTGTATCATGTCCCATGATATGAAAGAATAATTCAAGATATTTTTTCTGCTCTCGAGGAGCTTACAATCTAACATAAACAAGACTACAGAAACACATACATGAGAGTGGTTATACTCTTAACAAAATGCAACAGATACATTAAAGATAAAGGTAAAAAATATGGGGTAAAGAATGACTTTTTAAAAAGGGTGAAGATAAGGAGAGGAGTAATTTGCTTCTTCATTCCCATTTCTTTGAAAAATGATTCATAGAAGATGTATGATTTTAAGTGTTCTTCAAATCATGAAATAGTGTATGGCTTGAAGCCTAGAGGAAAAAACATTTCTGAGTGACTGGAAATACTGAGCTGAGTAAGAATGGCTGGGTGAAGGGTCCAGAAAGACTTTCCAAGGAATGAACTGTCAAATTAAGAATCAATGGTCTGGATCCCTCTGGTAGAGGACAGAAGCTAAGGGGAGACTACAGGTCTCCTCAACTCTCTTCCAAATGCAGGTGGTGTACAATGACTAAACCATAAAACCAAGACTCCTCCAAAATAATAAAAATGTCTAGTTTAAAACCTTTTCAAAAATCTCCATAGACTCTAGGTTAAAGAAATGACCTTTGGAAACTTTATTGTGGATTTCTAGGGTAAGAAAGCACTTCTAGATAGAACCATAGACCCAGCAGCCATCTAATCCACTTTCTTCTATAGGATCTCATTCGTTTGTTTGTTTATTTCTTTGCTTGCTCATCTGTTAATTTTCTCTTATTGGACTTATTGAACTGATGCTAAATACTTTATTATTCAGCTTTATCTGCTTTATTTTTCCACTATCGACAAAGGAGAGCAAACTTTTGGAACAGGTTGATTTTAGTCAACCTCAATTATAATACAGCCTCAGGCTAAATGAAGTACGTTATACAGCCTGATATTGATGATGACAGGAGTGTCAAAGTACTCTTTTCCTAGGGAGAACAATCAAAATGATGACAGATTCTCTCACCATAATACCCTGCTTTGCCTTATTCAACATTTGACTGCAATGCATGCAGGGTGTTTCAAGGACCTTTGGAGGATAATTATCTCAACAAAAAATGCACATTTTTAAACAATACCTCCACACATCTTGTTCATACCATAATGACAATGTTATAATTAGAAATACCTTGATTTAAATTAATAATTTTATTTCAAGAAGCTCAATATTCTTCACATATGCAATTCTATTTATCTTGTCATATTACATATTCAACTGAAATCTATGGTGGGGTCCAATCTCATGTATTTACAAGCTTATAATTCTGTTCTTCTTAAAAACGAAACTTGAATCCACTGTTAAACATACCTTGGGATAAATTTGAGTAAATAGGAGGCAATAATAGGTGTTTCCTCATATGTGAACAGATCTGATACTCATTGTTAAGCCTCCTTATCCCATGATAGTCACAGTGGAAAGTAAGTCCCCAAATACTAACCTTCTAAGAGTCTCACCTTACCTTTCAGGATAAAAGCATTTAAGGTGGGGTGAGAACATTCAAATAGAATATATCCATTATTCAGTGCCAGGGAACTCCTGGAACCTGGGTCACCTAACGTTCTACCTTTATATCCCCTTATTCATGTGTAAAGGAAGGTCTGGAGTTCCAGTGGCATAAGACCCATTTGTCTCTTGTGATTTTATTCTTTGTTGTCCTTAAGTCTGTGCTCCATTTTTTTGTATTTGGGCAATGTCTCAAAAAATAGAGTAAGAGTCTTGGGGAAAAAAACTGTAAGCTTTCAATAGAGGCTATTGGGTTCATTTGGTTCTAAAAAATATGTCACATTACTTAACATGTCTCTTTGCTATCATGACATCACAAGAAGCTTCATGCTGAGAACTAAGACTGAATAAATAATACAGAACTACCAGAATTGATACCACCTGTGTGCAACATAGCTCCTCATGATGACCTATAATGTATATTTTAATGATTTTCAATAAACCAAATTTAAATCCTATCAATTGCGTGACATATGTTCATTCTAATGATACTTCTGGTTTCTTTCTCTTTTTCAAGATAAGTATGCCTTGATTCCAACTTCATTTTGACAAATGATTTTTGAAAGTAGATCCCAAGAGAAGCCAGAAATTGCCCACAGTTCCAAGCCCAGCAGAAGACACGCCCTGTGAATTCCATAAGAAACAAACTAAAGAATCTATTCTGTGGTCCCAAAGCCCCCAAAATACTCAGACATTTCACAGCCTTCCTCCCCCAAGTCACCCTTGTCAAGGATTCTGATAAACACGCTTATAGATACAGCTATGCAACAAATGGGCCAATAAGTATAAACAGATGTACTTACATGTGTCTGGCTTGAGCTGACTGTTGGTGATGCCAAAGTACTGGGGATTTTCAATAACAGGGATCTTCGTCATTCCAATAATGACAGCATCAGGGCCGCCCTCTGAAGATGATGGAGTATTACTCCCATTGGAGATGTGGTGGAGTGGGCTAGCAGAGTCATCATCATTGCTGATAACTGAAGCTGGGCCTGGAGTTGGAAAAAATAACCATTCTC